AAGAGGCGATCAAACTTTGAATGAAAGCTGTAAATTATGTACTCAAAAATGACAAACTATGTAGGAGATCAAAAACATACCCATGGGCAAAGTACCTGACTGAAGAAGAAGGCAACTATGCCATAACACTACAAAAAAAAACGCTGAATTACGATTGATATCTGCGATTGACTTCATCGGTCGCCATTTTGCTATAGAATGGTGACAATTTTATGACCAATGGCACTGTTGAAAGTTTGAGCTTTTGTGTGATGGAATTTCAATCGAGTTGTGATGGATGTGCAACAAAATTTGCTACTGCCACTTAATCGGTCGCAACTGTTCATGGGGAAACTTGGCGGCTGCCGAACAATGTTAGGGATTGCGACTGAATCAATCAATCACAAATGCTTTCGTTCTCCAACCAACAAGTTTACTTCTCTGTTTAACAGTTTGCGACGGATTTGCGACCGCTTATCTAAGTCTGTGATTGATTTTTTGGACACGTCATTAAAATTAGCGACCAATATTTATATGAATTGCGACCGATTCGGTCAATCATAAATTATAAAGGTTAATAAAAACCCAGTTTTCTTCTTCGCGTGACCACAATCGCAGTTTCATTTTCTTCTCTCCTTGTGTGCCTCTTTTTGTTTTTCTCGCTATTCCTTCTCGTCCGATGACATAAGCTGTGGTTTCGGCCGTATAGCTCTCACCGCTGGTGGTTCCTGCATCCCTCCTCCCTAGTCGCGCGAGGATAGTGACAGTTGCAGGTAATTTTTTTATGCTTTTTTTTTTTCCATTTTGTGGTTAATTAGTAGTTATAATGTATTTTTTGATGATTTTGTGGTGAGTGGTTTGTTTATAAATTAATTTCAATTTTGTTATAAATTAATTAGTTTAGTTTATCTTCAAATCAACATAATTTATCAATGTTTTTTGTTAATTAGTTTAGTTTATCAAATTAACTAGCTTAAGCCATTCACAAATTAACATTGTTAATTAGTTTAGTTAACAAAGAATGAATGAATGAATGAATGAATGAATGGAGTATAAAACAAAGAAAAGAAAATGCTCTACAATGTGAATGGCTTTAAATTAACTAAACTAATTAGCTTATCTTCAAATGACTTTAAATTACTTTATCAATATTTTTTGTTAATTAGTTTAATTTATCTTCAAATTAACTAGCTTAAAGCAAATTGATCTATATTTAGAATACATGTTAATAGGTACCTTTAAACATAAAAGTGGAAAAGATTTTAATAGGTACCTTTTGACACAATTTAAAATAAATTTATGATTTTATTGGATAAACTTTAAAGTGAATAGAGTAATATGATTGAGCTTGATTGAGATGTTGAGTTTGTGTGAAATGGAGGCCTAGTAGTGGGCATAAGCTGGAGTTACAAGGTGTTGGATTATAAAAGTGTGTTTTTCTCATTGTTGTAACTTAGTTTCGACATTTTTATGGGGAAGTGTGAACCCCTCCCCCAAATATCATGCATAAAGATGCATATGACTAAGGGCAGAAATGCACGTGAATGTATGAGTCGCCACCTTGTTTAATTATTTTAGGGTAAACACAAATTTAAAATAAATTTATGATTTTAATTGATAAAACTTTAAAGTGGAATAGAGTAATATGATTTGAGCTTGATTGAGATGTTGAGTTTGTGTGAAATGGAGCCTAGTAGGGGCATAAAGCTGGAGTTAACAAGGGTGTTGGATTATAAAAGTGTTGTTTTTTCTTTCATTGTTGTAAAACTTAGTTTCGACATTTTTATGGGGAGTGTGAACCCTCCCCCCAAATAGTCATGCATAAGAATGCATATGACTAAGGGCAGAAATGCACGTGAATGTGTATGGTTCGCCAACCTTGGTTTAATTATTTTAGGGTAAACTAGGAAAAAACCTAAAGTGACTTCCAATTGTTTAATTAACCTAATTTATTTAGATAATTAAAACCCCAATGTTAAGGCATGGTCTACGAACCCGAGGTGGATCCCGAGACTATGTCATGCTGATGAACTAACCAAAACAATGAATGCTTTGCAGGGTAAAATCATGTAATTGGACCAATGAAAAATGTTTATGTGATTGCGACTTGCCACTCAGGGTTAAATCCCTAACGTGCCTACGTACTTCCGTTTGAATGGAAGATCAGAGTCAACGTAGTTCGATGTGTCTTTTTAAAAGGGCTTTGAATGGGTATGCTTAATGCATGGGTGTGTGTATGCTTCGTGCATTTTGTTTAGGCATTTTGCCAAAGACTTGATTGGATTTAGGCCATTGATGCCAAAAAATGCGATTTTAATGGCTTTTAGCGCAACCAAGATTGATTTAGGCAATTTGTTGCAAAAAATTGATGGAAGGCAGATTTATTGCCCAAAATTGGTTAGGCGATTTGTTGCCACAGTTGATTAAGACAATTTTGCTGCCAAAAAGTTCGGTATTGGAAGGCTTTAGCCAAAAGATTTAGGCAATTTGTTTGCCAAAAAAGAATTATTCGGCGTTTGTCACCAAAATGACTGATTTAAGGCTTTTTAGCCAAAACTGAATTAATCTTAAGGCAATTTTTGCCAAAAGTTGATGTTGATTTAGGCGATTGTCGCCAAAATGATTGTTTGAAGGCTTTAGCCAAAAGATTGATTAATTCTAAGCAGGCATTCGTGCCAAAAGATGATATGTAATTTAGGCAATTTGTTGCCAAAGAAAAGGTGATATTTGGGCGATTTGTCGCCAAAAAAATGGTTATTCGAATTATAGGCAATCTGTTGCCAAAAAGCGATTGATTAAATTGTAGGCAATTTTTTGCCAAAAACGTGATTGATTAAGGCTTTTAGCCACAATTATTGATTAATTGGACTTTTAGCCGAAGTGTTCGAAATAGAGGCAATTACACCGTAGTTATTAATTAACTAGGCTCTTTAGCCAATATGTTCGGAGTTTAGCATGAATACCACGATTATTGATTACGGGTATTTAAGCTTAATCATATTGATTGGGCCAGTTTATTTGCCATTGATTGACATGAATGGTTCATATGCAGTTGTAGAGTTACTAGAATTAGAGAGAAAATATGCATGAAGTGCTTAAAATTAAACGAGGAGAGTTTTATGTTTATTTACCTGAGTGTAAACCGTGACCGCTTCTAGCTTCAGCTTGAAAAAACTCCTGGATTAAGCTCCTCGTTTGGGGGAATATTAATTTAGAATTAATTTAATTTAAGTGGCCAAATATAAAAGCAAAGAAAGCCAATTAAAAGCGTAGAATTAAAAATGCAGAAAAGCCAGTAAAAGAAAACGCAAGGAGCGTAAGGGAGAAAGGAGCGTTCGTCAACAACAGACTGGGAGGTGTAAAACTGAGGGCTCGGGGCCCAATTTATAGGCAAAATCGGACTTTTCCGGCGGCCCGGCCGGGCGGACCTCCGTGGCTAGGCCGGCGGTTTCTGCATATTTTTTTTACTCCGGAGGCTTTTCCGGGAGTTCTGGATCTCCAAAAAAGTCATTTCCGGGACCAGTTCCGTGATCCTTGTAATTTTACCGGACGTTTCAAAGTACCCATATTTCGCATACTTCCGTCGTGAAGCTTTCAGAATGGCCTTTGGTCGGCCGACTGTTCGCAGTCCAGGGAAAACTGGCTTTTTGAGCCTCAAAAATTAGTGATTCAACATGGCCGACTGCAGCCGCTGTCGCAGGCGGCTTCCGCAGGCGACTGCAGCCGCTGTCGCAGGCGGCTGCCGCCTTTAAGGGCGACCACCACCGCCGCGGCCGGGAAAACTGGCCTTTTTTTGAGCCTCAAAATTTGAGTATTCACAGGAAGTGCTACTGAAATTCATTTATAAATTAAACGAAATGCATAATATACTTACAGATTTGACAGTTTTTAGCAAACTTTTGTTGCACGTTCAGTGTCTTTCTTATTTGTGTAAAAGAGAAGACACTGAATTTCCCAAGTTGGACAGTTTAGGAATGTCTGTCAGTAAAAAAGGACGAAACGACAATCAATTACATATACACTTATATAGAATTTATGTTGTATCTCCTCCTGTGTTCTCTAGATGCATATATAGTGGATTTAATTGATCTGCATTATGTATTCGGAGAACTATGGGGAGATGCTGCCGAAATTCTAATCGGTGCATATTGTAAAGGATTTGTTTCATTTTAACTAATGAATAGAGACATTTCTAGATGTGCTAGGTTCGTACCAAATGTAAAAGGAACATGAATATCATTTGTGAAATCTAGCTTTAACGCAATTAATACCCATTTTCCGTTAAGCGGATTCACTACTTTCATTTATTCTATTCCATTTGCATAATCCACTATTACAAATTCGTTAATTTTTTTAGACAACCAACAGAATTGCACATTACCTAAAAAATTCGGAGAGAATCGAGAATGGTTGTATCAGAGGTACGAGGTGAATGGGATATTGAGAAAAGGATTTCTTGCAAGGATTTGATACGTTCATACAATTTATAGTTGATAATCCGAGTCACATGGATGGTTGCAAATTTAGGTGCCTGTGTAATCATAAGAAGTGTCAAAACAGAGCATTCTTTGATGTTGATATAGTTAATCTTCATCTGTACAATAGTGGTTTTATGGACAACTATTATGAATGGATACATCATGGTGAACCATGGGTTTATAGTAGTTCGAATCGCCCATTTGCTATGTTGACATAGGTGCATTAGATGATGAGGAGGAAGAAGAACATATCATCCTGGGTACTTCGGAAGAAGAAGAAGAAGAAGGAGGAGGAGGAGGAGGAGGACACGAAGAAGAAGATGATGAAGATGAGGATCTTTAAGATGGAAATACATAACTAAATTGTATTATAAATACTAAATAGATGAATTTCAAATTTTTGAGACATTACTTATTCAATATCTATGATGTTTTTTAGAGCAATATGATTATTGTATTTTGCAAATGTTCTCTAATTTCGTAGTTTACAGTTCAAGCTTAATCATATACATGCATGTGTAGGTTCAGTCATTTATAGTACATATGGCAAGAGGTAGGGGGGTTGATTCAGACGCACCTGATAGCGAACCGCGTGGAGGTCACGACCAAGAACGTTGCATGCGTGGACGAGGGGTTATACCTCCTCTATCTCCTTCTCCTCCTCCTTCCGGCACACCTGGGGCTTCGTCTTCTATTCAGCCCCTCGTGCGACCTCCACTTCCTCCTATTCCTTCTTCTTCTTCCTCATTTCCTGGACCGGCAGAGTCTACACCAGTTGCACAGTCCCCATCTGCACCAGGTAATCAATCATAACTATTAATTAGCACCAATAAGTACTTTTTTGCTTTTCTGACATATTTATTTAATGTTTAATTTGTAGCTTCGGCTGAGCCACGTATAGAAGTTAGTTTGGTAGCGGGACAGTAAGTACTTATTTACTACTGTATTTCAAAATGATTTTATTTGCATTTTGATGAATCTTTCTACTTACATTTCTCTTTATTATCTTTCACAGTATTTATCCATCCTTTCGAGCGTCAAGGCAAATTATGAGGATCATAAAGCTACATCTCGATAAAGATGGATACACTTGGGATGCAGTACAACAGGAGGTGAGAGACTTTTACTGGAATGAGTTTCAGGTATGACATTACTCCATTTACATCTACATTGACATTTATGGAGATATAATCAATTACATTATGTAAAAATATTATAATTTGTTTTTGCAGAAACATTTTCTATGGGAGGAGTTTATCACAGCTATGCTTAAGGTGGCTTGAGAGAAATTGTGAGCTCTATGCTACTCTAATTTCACTTATAGGATGAGGAAGAATGGAAAGAAGCAGTAGCGCGTATCTCAGGAGGTATGGGATAGCTGACAGAAGGCTTGGGAGGATCTTGCATTTAAGAGGAAATGTGAGATCTTTGCACGGAACAGGCATAGTGAGACTAGTGGTGACGGAGCATGACCATTGAGACACACAGGCGGGTCTATCTCTACTATAGAGACAGCTTAAATATTGGTAAGTAAATTAGCTAGAGTTACCACACTAACGTTTAACGGAATAATTGTAACTATTAATTTATTATGCATAAAACTATGATATAGGCTGAGAATATGGTTGTGAGACTACACTGATGGAGGTGTTCAAATACACTCACACAAAGGATCACGATGGAGAGACTTTTATTGACAGACGTTCAATGGGGCGTTAATGTGAGTATGATACATTTTTCTAATTTCTTAGTCTTTTATTATTTATGCATTCAATGAAGGTGTTCACTACATCTAGCAACTATATAAAAATTATTGTATTATTGATTTCAAGAGAATGTTCACTACATCTAGCAACTATATAAAAATTATTGTATTATTGATTTCAAGAGAATTACAATATAACTTGCGATCGTGTTCTCTCTTCTCAGCCTGCATCTAATGGTCAGTCGAGTGTTGATGAGTTAGCCTTATATTTAGACTTGGTAGGAGGCCAAAAGAAAAGGAAGGTGTACGGCATTGGCTCCCAAGCATCACAGTTCTACTGCGGCTCAGCTTCAAATGCTGCTAGTGCTCCACCATCACAACCACAACCAATCATAGTGTCGAGGAGATTAGTGCATTGAGAGCTCGTGTTGATGACTAGGAGAGATAGCTCACGGAGCTTAGAGCACATGCGATGCGGATGTTTGGTCCCTAGACGACTGCTACTTCGTTTGATCCTTCGACTGTTACGAATCTAATGGTGCCATCTACTACCAGGCATCAGACGACATCTTTCATTCCTCCTCCAAATACTGTATATGATACTACAGATATGTTAGTGGCTCCTCCAGACACTGTAGCAAACCCAGAGGACACTACACCAGATCTTGTAGCCACTTTATTGGTCCGACATCATAGATTTGACTTCAGACCATCTTAGATTGTTATTTTCATTGATTCACTTTCATATTTTGTAACTTGTTATGTTTACGATGCTTTTTCATTGATTCACTTTTATATATATATTGTTTTTCAACAGGTATATAAAATTTCTATTTGTACAATTTTTAAAATATTTTTTTCTTTTCAAAATTATTTTGCGACCGCCGATGTTTTTTTATAACACATATCGACAGAGTAGCGATCAAAATTCAAAAACGGTGGAAAAAAGTTGCGACCACTTTGCGACGGCCAATTTCCATTTGCCACCGACTTTTAGGTGGGAAATATTTGCGGCGGATACATGATGATAGATAGTATATCAATTGCGATGGATTTCCATCATTTTACAATCGATAATGGTGGTCATAATTTTGCTACCGACTGTATTTTTCGTCACAATAGGATTTACAACGAGTGTTTTACCGACCATTTACGCGTGGTCGTAGATTCATTTTTACGTTACATTAGTTTGTGACCAATTCGGCGGTTGCAATTTGCTAAATTTTTTATAGTGTAAGGGAGACTCATGAAGGTGTTTGTGTGTGAATACTCAAATTTTGAGACTCGAAAAGCCGGTTTTCCCGGCCGCGGCAGTGGCGGCCGCGCGGATAGCCGCTATCCGCCTTCGGTACTGGTGTTAAGTTTGACGGTGGATCTAGCCTAAACCTCGCGTTTGTGAACACTCAAATTTTGAGGCTCAAAAGCCTATTTTCTTCTGGACTGCGAACAGTCCGGCCGGACTGGAGGCCTTTCAGAAAGTTCACCGGAAATATGCCAATATGGTACTTGAAACGTCCGAAAAATTACGAGGATCACGGAACTGGTCTAGGAATATTTTTTGGAGGTTCGGAACTCCCGGAAAAGCCCCCGGAGTGAACTTGCCTGCCCCGGTGGCTCAGCCACCGGAGCCAGCCGCCGACCCGGCGGCCCAGCCCGCCGGGTCGACCGAAGGACCGACGGCTCGGCGCCCGGAAGGTTCGCCAAGTCGGCGGCCCGTCCACCGGCGGCCCAGCCGCCGAGACCGCAAGGCCCGGGCCGCCGCGGGCGCCGGGACCGCCCGCCGGGGGCGCGGGCCGCCGGGACGGCCCGCCGGGGCCGGCGACCCGGCACACCGGAAACAGTCCGTTGTGCGCCTATAAATACAGCCTGTCGGCCTCCTTTTTTCCTCACTCAGTCTTGTTGACGGACGCTCCTTCTCCCTCTCGCTCCTTGCGATTCTTTACTGCTTCTTTACTGCTTTTCTGCATTTTAGTTTAGCTTTATTGCTTTCTTTGCTTTGTTAATTGGTCACTAAATTTGAATTAATTAATATTCCCTTGACGAGGAGCTTAACCTGGAGTTAAGAAGTGGCCGTCGACTAAATCAGGTACATAAATTAAACTCTGCTTACTTAATTTTAGCACTTCATGCATACTTCTCTTCTACTCCTAATTCTACAACTGCATAAATGCATTCATGTCATCATTAGGCACATAAGCTGCCTCAATTAAATAATTTTAGGCTAAAATGCCCGGTTAATTAATAATCGTGGTATTATTAAAGCTTAAATTCGACGATATTGGCTAAAAGCCTAGTTAATCAATAACTATGGTGAAAGAGCCTTATTTCGAACAGTTTTTTGGCCTAAGTCTAATTAATCAATAATTGTGACTTAAAGGCCCTGATTAAACACTTTTTCTTTTTATGGCAATTAATTGCCTATATTTCAATTTAATTAATCACTTTAGGCAAACAAATTGCCTATAAGTGACAATTGATTCTTTTTTATAGCGACAAATCGCTTAAAGCAATATTTTGGCTAAAAGCCTTTAATTAATCACTTTAGGCAAACAAATTGCCTATAAAAACAAATTGCCTATAAGTGAGGAATTGCATTTCTTTTTCGGATAGCGACAAATCGCTTAAATTAAAATTATTTGGCTTAAAAGCCTTAAAATAATTCATATTTGGCACAAATTGCCTTAATCAATCAATCTTGGCGACAAGTCGCCCAATTAACCTCTTTTGGCAAATTAATTGCCTAAATCAATTATTTTTGCTTTAAAAGTTTGAACAAATTCATCTTTGGCACCAAATGCCTAAAAATCAATCTTTTGGCAAGAATAAAGCCCCAAAATCAATTCTTTTGGCTAACAAGCCTCAAAAATCGACATTTTGCACCAAGTGCCTAAATCAATCAACCTTTTTTTTTGGCAGAATGCCTAAACAAAAATGCACAAAGCATACACACACGTCATGCATAAAAGGCATCCCATTCAAAGCCCTTCAAAGAGCCTATCAACTTACGTTGAACTTTGATCTGCCATTCAAATGCGGAAGTACGTAAGGGCACGTTCGGGATTTCACCCCCGAGTGGCAAGTCGAATCATTCAAAACATTGTCATTTGTCCAAGTTACTTCAATCGTTCCTTGCAAAGCAAACATTCATTCATTTTGTTAGTTAGCAGTTATGACATTAGGTCTCGAAGGGATCCATCTCGGTTTGCATACATGCCTTAGACATTGGGCTAATTAATTCTATAACTAGGTTAATTAAAATTGGAGTCACTGTAGGGGTGTTTCCTAGTTTTACCCTAAAACAATTAAACAAGCGTTGTGGCGACTCATTCATTCACGTGGCATTTTGTTCCTGTTGTCACATGCATTCACGATGCCTATTGATATTGTTGGGAGGGGTTCAGCAGTTTGGCGACTTCAACTGGGATTTAGTAATCGATTTGCAGAAAGTGGGACGTACAATTGCTGTGTGAAAAACTAACCTGGTGCCTTCTTAGGGCCATATATTTTACAATGCTCTTATTTGCAGGTCACCTGAGCACAAATCAAGTATTCTTTCTTTAAGGAATACAAGATGAGGAATTTTAACCAAAATGTGTAACAAGAATTGTTAAGACATGTTGTAAATTTATTATTTATTTGCACGGATTGAGAGAAATCTTTTTCTTCCGATTACAATAAAAAAATGAATTTCAAATGAATTTCTTCTCGTCTCTGTTCAAACGTTCTGAGTCTGATAAGCAGTAGCGGGCTGATCGGCAGTCTGCTTGATTGTATGTCGGACGGACGAGCCAAAAGCGTCCTCCCTGGTTGCCGCCCAGAACCATCCCTAATCCTTTTGGGGGTGGGCCATGGGCAATGGCTACTTGTTGGAACCCACGACGAAACTCTTTGTTTCACATGTGCTTAGGTGGATATCCATGCTGCAAGCCTCAAAGGGTCCCTTAATAATGCCAATCCTCTATTTGTGTCAGTAGCCTAGTAGAAACCTATGCCTTTAGGACAGTGATGGCAACCCCAGATGATGCTGGATCATTCCATTAAGGATGAATTTATGTTTGTGTGTCGGTGCGCATTCAGCGCATTCATCCCATAACTTCACAAAAAAAGAACATTGCCTTTTCGAAAGCTCGGAAAATCACATTTTTGGGTCCCAAGACCTGAGAAAATTGACATTTGCCCCTAAGCCCCCAAAAATTCGCTAAATTTGGCCATGAGGCCCAAAAAATTTCCCCAGATTTGGCCACAGAGGCCAAAAGAATTCCAATTTTGCCTCCCTAAGCCCAAAAAAAAAATTCTAGATTTGGCCACAGAGGGCCCAAAAATGGCCCAATTTGGCCTAAAGGCCCAAAAAATTTCTCAATTTGGCCCCTAAGGCCCAAAAATTTCTCCAATGGCCCCCAAAGGCCCAGAAAATTCTCAAGTGGCCCCTAAGGCCGAAAAATTTGCTCCCAATTTGGCCGACAGAGCCTAAAATTCTCGATTGCCCCGAAGGCCCACAAGATTCCAATTTGTGGCCATAGAGGCCGCAAAAATTCCCAATGTTAGCCCCTAAGCCCAAAAAAAATTCTCGAATTAGGCCCCCAAAGGCCCCAAAATCTCCGAATTTTGCCATAGAGCCCACGAAAGTTTCCAATTTTGCCATAAGAGGCCCAAAAATCTCCAATTTGGCCGCCGGAAGGCCACGAAATTTCCAAGTTGGCCATAGAGCCCAAAAATTCCCAATTTGGCCATAGAGGCCGCCAGAAAATCTCAATTTGGCCCCGAAGGCCCAAAAATTCCCAATTTGGCCCATAGAGCCCCGAAAGATTTCTGCGAATGGCCCCGCAAGGCCCAAAATTGCCCAAATTGGCCTCCGAAGCCCGACAATTTGGCCAAGGGCCATATGAGGCCCAAAAATTCCCAATTGGGCGCATAGAGGGCCCAAAGATTTGCTCAATGTTGGCCGCGCGAAGGCCCAAAAATTCCGCAATTTGGCCAGCAGGGCCCAAAAATTCCCAATTTGGCCACAGGAGGTCCCCAAAAATTCACACTGCCCCGGAAAGGCCCAAAAGATTCGCACATTTTGGCCCCTAAGGCCCAAAAAAATTTTTTTGAGAAAACTTAGCGGTCTTTCGAAAAGCGAGTGTCCAGCCCTAAACACTCTACTTAGCATATCACATCCCATGGAGTTCTATCCTAGTGTCCTAGCAGTTACCAATATCAAGCCCCACATCACAAGGGTCAAATGTCTCAAGATGACCTCGCCCATTACAACTACCCTACCTCACACTAATCTCTCACGAGTACCCTAGTAAGAATACCTATGAGTGGGCTAACATTTTCACATACCCTATGAAAATACCTTATAGTCTAATCATTTTGACTATGTCCTTTTACAGGTACCCCTCCAAAGACCACCTGTACCCGAAACACCGACCTCACCCACAAGTCCAACAACCCCAACTGCACCAATGGCATCACTGTCTGACATCCAAAACCTCATTGAACAATTGGAAGCCAAAATGGAGGCTAGAATGAATGAGGCATTGGTTGCCCAGAGGACTGCCCTAATAGCCGAACTTGGTGGTGGTAATGGAAATGGGGCTTCCGCCGGGGGAAGTGGACCTTCTACCTCTAATTTGGGACCTGCTGCAGAACCAATAAACCCTACCCTTAACCTGGATGGCATGCCCTCTGGAACTGCTTCTGAGCTGGAAGCTCAGAAAATGATACGTAGAGAAACTAGAATCCGTGGAAAGGTCTATCAGTGCCCTCAAGACACACGAAAAAATCGTGGACAATGACTCCTTGTCCTTGTTCCCCAGAAGCAAGACCTGCCGAAACAAAGTTCAAGATGCCAACAATGGACAAGTTGATGAACCAACTTGTCCTGAAAACGCAACCACTTGTCCCAAAACACACCTAAAAATGTATGTGGGTGCACTTAACCCGTTTGGATTGAGCAGTGAGCTCCTTGCTCAATTGTTCCAACAATCTCTGACCGGTGCTGCTTTAAGGTGGTTTGTTAGCCTGGATTGGTCTAAAATGAAGACCTAGGAGGACATCTGTAATGCATTCAATTCACAGTATCACTATAATATGGAGGTGGATGTTACTCGGAGAGAGCTGGAAACCACCAAGCAAAAGAACAATGAACCTTTTTCCTTGTTCCTTACGAGGTGGAGGGCCAAGGCCGCCCAAATGATCAACCGGCCTTCAGAACAAGAACAATGTGAGCATAAGAATCAATGAGAATTTACTGCCTGTCTACCAGTCAATCTTCAAGAGCATCTAGAAATTTCTTTTTTTTTGGTTATTTATTATATTCACATGGCCTATCGCCTTTCTAAGTTTTCTGGTTCATGCTGATTGCCTATACTTAAGGGGCATGGAAGACTAATGGTTCATCATGGTGGGTTCTGGGTCAATGACTCTTAATGGGATAGTAGCCTGTCAGTACAATGAAATAAAGCAGAATTCATGCTGGGGTCGCTGTACCGTGGATGATGCAGTGAATTGAGACCAGATAATCCCCTTTGGAATGTGCAACTCGCTTTACATCATTAGGGCCAATTTGGGAAACAATTCAACAAATGGAAGTGGTCAATTATAGCTCTATGTGATCTTCGTGCTATGAGACTGCGTCATCGCTTTTTGGATGTTAGATCTCAAGAGACCGCCAGTAAAGCATATATTTATACTGAAAGACGCCTTAAGTTAAATCAAATGGTCCGTTGTGTTTTTATTATCTCAGATATCGGCGCTGTGTGGTTTGCTGTGCCGGAAATTTAATCTCTATTGAAACCATGTTAGTTTTGAATGAATTACTGTGTTATATGTACTCAATGCAAGGACTTATAGAGTGGCATTGAAAGGGCGCGGGAATCATGCTGAGAACTTTGAAAAACCGTCTACAAGACCTAGTGGACAATGGTCCATCATCCCCAAGAGCAAGCTGAACATCAACCAATCCCTTGCCTAACCATGGGATTAATGCAAAAAAAAATTTGCGAACAAGAATCGTTCGCATCCTTTCGAACTTTATTTTCTTAGAATTGAATGAAGTTTTGGGGCGATCGTTAGGGTTGTCTAGAAGTTGAGATCAGAAGGCATCCGCAAATTAACCCAGATACACCATA